TCGGCCAGACGGTTTGCTTCTCATTTCAAATTGCTTGGATGCTACAGTACCTAGAACATTGTTTCAAAGGAAAACATTACTCTTTATTTGAAAAATATGTACCTTTGTTTTTTTGTATTTGCTATTTCCAACATTCCATTGTGCAAAGGCACAATTTTGAAGTAATGTTTCAGGGAGATAATCCTTCATCCATCTGGAAGACAAATAGCACCAACCTCATTGCTCAGGTAGCTCTCATTTCTGAAGAACTTAAGTGCACATCTAGGTAGAGTTTGCTCTAAATTTGGATTTCCTTGTTTGTTAGCTAGGACACCAATATGTCTACAGTAATACCAGATCACATGTGCTGCTTGGAGGTCATTCTTATTTCCTTAAATTAGTCAGCTGATTGGTCATAGTTCATATGTTACACTTCCTGTTGTATGCATACTGAGACCAAGTTATTCCCAGGCAAGTATTAGAAGAAAAACATAACAGTTTGTAATTTCAAAATTACCATGAAGATCTTCAAGTTGCTCACATAACCCTTCAGCATGAGAAGCAAACTATTTTAGAATTCTCATTCTAAGTTGTAACTTGATACAAATTGATTGTTTTCGTAAGAGGAGTTTGCCAACATGGATTGTCAATATCTTACAATGAATAGGCAGTGGAAAAACACAAAGTCATCTTGTACCATGTCCTGAAGATCCAAAGTAAGAAAAACGTTTTTTCTAAAGCATGGTTTCTAGGAACAAGACTGGAGGGAAACAAACTAATCTGCCAACCATACTCCAAATTAGCATCAGTTTTGGTTGCTAGTATTTCCCAGATGTCCCCACTTGAAAACTACTTACTCCATCTTTGTTCTAGTAAATCATCAACAACAAAAGAAAAAGAACAATTTCTTTAAAATGGAATTTGGTATGTGAAAGAAAGGAATGGAATGTCCCCTTAGCAGAGTATTATTCATGAAATGAAACACATTTGTTTGTGGGAAGAGCACTTGAAATGGTCTAAAGAACAAAGTGGCACACAAGCAAATCCCAGAAGTGCACAATCCCTTCTGAAAGCTCTTCCTCTGAACCTGAGTTTTCACAGTTAATTCACAAGTAATCAGTAAAATACAGTTTATATTATTGCTCATGTGAACAAATGAAGGCTCATTTAATGCCTGCACTGAGCTCAACAAGCAAGGCTGGGTATTTCTCCACAGATTTTTGCTTTGGCTGTGTCAAATTGCAAAACTCACACAGGAGTTCCTCTGCTGGTCTCACATCATATGATACCTCAAGTCTTAAATCTGGGATATTCCCATATTCCAGCAGCACTTGGGAGTCCAAGACCAGGTAACTTAGAAACAGCAAGTGGCATCTTCAGCTTTCCATCCTCTTTGCCTTGCCTAGATAGATCAAAGAGAAGAGCCAAAGACATTTGGGATCTTAATGAATTTTGCATTATTGTTGAGGCCACATGAGGAATGTTTAAGTGTTGATATGAGCTGAATTAGTGGATATTGAAAAGAGACCAGAATTCAAACCTCATTTATCAAGTGATAGAGAAAACTGTTTTAATGTCCTTCAGCAAATCTGGTCTATGAGAAATACTTTTAGCATATCATTCCTATTTCTTAAAAAAAAAATTAGAATCTAATATTAAATATAAGTAAATTATAAGAGATAAAGGGTAGTTCTGAGCTAGCTTATACTCTCCTAAAGAAAACCCTGTAACTGGAAAAGTCAAGCTAGGTAAAGCAATATGTAAAAAAGCCATCCTTATTTCTGTTGTTGGTCAAAGAATGTGTTCATTATGGAACTAAATACTTGTACTACATGGCTTTTGATTTGTAGTTAGATATTACATCCCTAAAGCTTGATACTTCATATTAATTCCAGATGAGATGGTTTAATGATGCAGCCACGAGATCATTTAGCCCTGACAGGAAATGAATTGTAGCCAGACACCCTTTTTATGGAGAATGATAAAGCTGTGAACACTGCTGGAAAGAAGTTCATGATTCATGAACTAGATTTTAGGTTGACATTCCCACCTCAGACAGGCAGACTAAGGAGTCTTTTAAACTCATCAGTAATGTTTGTGTTACAATTCTTACTATAATTTCTGGATCTCTCATTTGTTTTGAGTAATTTTTTCAGAAGATAAGAAAAATAAAACATTTTTTGACTGCAGTGTTTAGATATTAGGGAAATAACTATCAGGTTATCTGTCACTTCATACAAGTTTATAATTTGGGCTGATGCTTCTCTTTCTACTTTCTGCAACCAACATCAGTGCTGCTGCATTTCCTTTCTCCTGGTAACCCAAGGAAGTGATAAAGATTGAGATCCACACTATATCAAGTATCAGGAAAAAGTTGCTTGCCCTAGGGTTTCATTTCCTTTCTGCTTTATGTAACATTAGTGATGGTTATCCCAGCAGGCATCTTGCAGCTGAGGAGGCAAGTGGCCACCAGGGATCCTGCCCTGCTGCTCCAGGACCAGCTGCAACTGTTCTGCTACACACACAGCAGCGAGAGATTGTTGCTTTGGGTTTTTTTCTGCATAGAGTTATAGAAATCTCCTTTGCATTAACCCTGATTTAATGCATATTCTCAGAACAAAATAATGGTAGGTTATCATGTATTTTGGCTCACGTGCCCTCTCTCAAGAGGCTGTTTATTCTGTTTGGGCAAAGGGTGCTTTGGACTGTATCCATTTCTTTTGCATGTGTAAATACTTTTGCAGTTTTACTGTTTCTTTACCTTGCAAGCTAAAAATAATCACAAATATTTGAATAGCAACAGGCTCTGTATTTTCTGCTGCAAAGAAATAATTTTTAAATAATGAAAAAATCTGTACATTTTTAAAGATGATATATGCAGACAGCTGCAGCCATGATATATATTATTTACAAAGTTGCATCAAAGTCTGTAGCAATTCACTGAAGAAATTATAAATATGTAGGAAACTAAGACTGACAGAGTTTTTACAGGCTGAACTTTGTATTTTTCAGACTATATTTCTGACTGACTGAGCTCCTTTACCTCCTGTTTACTCCAGGTGCAAGCTTAGCAGTCTTTCAAAGCAAGTCCTAGGACAGGCAGCAAATCTGATCCTGGAGGGTTTGAAAAAATAGAGCACTAGGAAGAAGATCAACTTATGAATGATTCATGGAGAGAGAGCTCGGAGGAGTGAAGGCCACATCTAGGGAAATAGGATGCAAAACATGAGAGCTTCCTGGCTGCCATGGGAAATACCAAGGAATTTAAGTACACATATAACAGTGGAGGAAAGGAATAAAGGTGACAGCAGTGAAAAGCTAGTGGAGAAAAACGTGGAAAATAAAGACATATTAAAACCTACAGATGTAGATGAAACTTTGAGGCATAGAGTATAGAATCCAATGCATGTGAAGTCAAAAAGCTGTGGAGACATTTTCAGAGTCTCATTTATAGATGACAAATGTATTCATTGTTTCTGGAAACCATAGTCTTTCATGGTTAGGAAAATAATACACAGCATGAGTTGTTACTGCAACCTATATGTTGTTCTTCATTTAGAAGGGGAAAAAAAGAAATAATTGTAGTCAAATTACTAGTGAAAAAAAGTGTAATTATCACTAATGAACAAAACAGGTGATGTAGGGATCCACATTGAGCACAGATGCTGAGGGTTTTATTCATATTTGAGCAAATCCATTGTCATATATTTTGGGTATGGATGTTGCTTGCAGGAATGAGGAAAGGCAAGGGTGGATGGAAGCAATTGAGGGATGAATCCTACTGCCATGTGATTCATTAGAAAATATCCATGTTGAATAAAGGTTCCATCTTTTATAGGAGAGAAAGGAAGAACTAGTGATCATGTTTAGCATATTTGTAACTTATAACATTCTTTTCTTCCTTCCTTCATAAGAGTTAGAGCTTGAAAACTGTGACACAGCAACTGCTTTGTATTTTAAGGCAAGTAGTTGTGGATTATTCTCTCTCAAAGGTAGTAGGTGGCATGTTTTGAGGAACAGATTGTATATATGCTAAATTGAAAATGGAAGCCTGAGATAAGTGAGTAATACAGAGTAAAGGTGAAAGGAAAAAAAAAATATTCCACTGTGCTTTTTGCTTTTTAAGGCATGCCCAGCAGTAGTGGTGCTGGCTTGCAGTTCCAATTCTCAAATTCCTGAGTGCTGGGGTTTTCGTAGACTTACTGGTTGCTCTTCACTTGGTGCCTACAGGTATAATTCTCAAATGGTTTTTACCTGTTTCACTGTGCCAAGTCATGATTCACTAGATGTAATGAACTCAGTTGATCTTTGAGAACTGGTTATTCCTTTCCAGATTTTTTAAGCAGGACCACACTAGAGACAAAGGTGGCATGATGGGAGGAGAGAAAAGAGCCTTTTAAAAAAGAAATACTGAAAAAATGTGTGTGCACTTAGGGCATGCCTTGGGATGAAGCAGCTTTCAAAGAACACATGGTGCGTGCCGTCCAGCACATTTCCCAAAGAAAAGTTTCAGAACTAAAGCAGGCTCACAGATGGTTCTAATGAGCTGGGCTTGGAGACGTACTGTGACTTGAACAAAAATAGTTTAACTCCTAAGACACTAACATTTCAAGATGACTTTCAAGCTCAAGCACTTGCAGAACAATTTTTCATGCCATTTTAATTTTATACGTATTTAGTCCCCTGGAAAGGGAGGACCTTGCACTTGCCATTATATACATTACAGTACTTTTCAAACTCTACAACACTTGGTTTTGAAAAAATAGTAATTAAAAAGAACAGAAAGAAGTGCAAGTCATAAAAATATCATCAAATGGTTCCCTAACCTTGTGGCACAGAAAATATGTATTAAATCATATACTTGATATTATTATATATTACAAAATCAGCACAAATTAATTCACAATCTTTTTATTACATGGTTTGAAACAACAGCATTCTGACTTACACCATTTCAAAACTGTATGTTCTAGGTGTCAGCTAAGCTTTGAGACACATCTTAATTCTCTATTTCCTCTTAGGTCTGCCTTATGGATGGGAAGAAGCTTATACAGCAGATGGAATCAAATACTTCATCAAGTGAGTAGTTCTGGGGGAAAATGGATTAGAGTTGAAATAAAAGCACATCAAGCTAAACACACTTTTAAACCTAGAATCAATGGAAAAATTAGTAATAGAACAAAAGCTCTCATGTTTTATAGATACCTTTATTACGAACATCACTTCTTCTCTGGTTTTTGTGGCTTCACTGTCCAGAGGGCCCCAGGGACAAATCCAGCTGTAATTCAGCTGAGTTGTGTCTCTCAGTCCTTCAGATGTCTTTGAACCCCCCAGCCTGCATTGTTGAGAAGTTCTGCAACTCCATGTTCAACCCTATAACGGAACCTGGAGATAAAAATATCTCATCCCTTACATAGTTTACAGGTATAATTATCTATTTTTTTAAATGTCCTTATGTTTTGGAGGAGTGGAAGGCTTCTTAGAATTCATTCTTCATAGCTGACTGGTTAGAAAGACTTCTGTTAACTAGTAGTGAATTTCACTGACCTGTGTTCAGGGTAGACATTGCAACAGGGAGCAGTTACCATGTACCTTCACAAAAAAATTACAGAAAAATGTTTGTATCAGGAGTTACTTGTGATTTTTTTAGAAGATATTGAAAGCAAATTACTTTTTAAACCCTCTCCAAAGACTAGAGTTGAGGTGACATTGATAAGATGGTACAATAACACAGTGTCTAAAGCATAAAGAAACTGTCTACAAAAGCTTTAAAAGCAGTAAGATTTAATCACCTGGGGGGAAAGAAACCAACACCTAAACCAAAGCACTAAGCTTGGGCCATTGTTACTTCCTTTTTTACTTTCCTTAACTGTAAAATTTCCTTAGTGATCGTATTTCTGAAAGTCTAGAAGAAAAAAAATCACTGCAAATTCATTATTTATAAAAAATGAAAAAAAAAAAATCTTGTGGTTTTTTTAACCAGAGCCAAAGTACAGTTTATATCCTGTTCATGTCTTGCAGATAGAGAACTGAAAGCTTTTGTACAAAGACCTACTTGATAAAAGCCATAGGAATTTGTTGTATAGACCAGGAAAGATGATTTTTTTTTTCAAGTGTATTCTGTGATTATGGAGGAAAAAAAGCATGAAAAAGTAGTAGCTTATGTTGTTTGTCCCAGAAGCTTCAGGAAGTGAATCAGACAGTATGCTGTTATTTTCCAGAATAGAGTGAAATATAATTCATATAATAGGTATTTTATCATTCCTCCAGAAGACTGAAACGGTGAAAAATGTGATTCATCTCCATTCCATATATATCGTGGATCACTGTTTAATTAATAGCTGGTTATTCTAGCAGCTGAAATTTGCATATTATTTAATTCTTATATGTGCCAGCCAGTATTTTGCAGGTGAACTTCCACAAGCTCCTAAAAGACAGAAAGGGCAGCAAATAAATCTTTGCAGTGAGATAAAATTTCTTTAATTAACACTTGTAGAAGTCATGTAAATAGCACTGAAGGTTGTGTCAAGAAAAGCAGGAACTTTTTGTTGTTGTTATTTTTGTTTTTTCCTTGATTCACCCTGTGGTGCCTTGAGATAGAGGTATTAGTGCAGACATGAGGGTTTTTTCTGCAGAGATTTCCAAACACACTGTGTGATAGTGCATTCCAGCTCTAATAAGGGCAGCTTTCTTTTCAAGCAGCTGTAGGTTACTATATAAGATTTCTTTTAAAAAACTTAAAAAAAAATAACTTAGGAAATGAAACTGAATTAATAGCCAATTTCATAGCAATGGAAATAAATAGAAGAGCAACTATTAAAACAGAGCACTGTTCCCTTGGTCTCCCTCTGTTGATACAGGGAGCCATTTTGAGACAGTTGGAAAGGTGAGGTGGCTGCTGGGCTCTCTTATGGGTAAAACACCTGTAATACTCACAGTTTATACCTGTATCATTGGAAAGTGAGCTTGAAAATACTATTATCTAGCTATAATAGAAAATAAAATTTAGCAGCAGAACAGAATAAATCTCTCACCCTTGAAATATATTCCCTCTTTTTTTTTTTTCCTGCCTGCATTACTGTGCTTCTCACACAAGTGCTTCTCTTGATGACTCAGCAGAAAGCCAGATTTGCTGAATAAGTGCAAGAACTTTCTTTTAAGTCCTGCACCTGGATGCTGAGCTATTGCAGGTGTGACAATAAGATGCATATTAGCATCAGTAGCATCGCAGCTGGTCTGGGTGGTGGAAGCCTAATTTATAGAAACCATCAGATGTTTTACGTTTCCCCCACTTGCTGAAACTACAGATCTGAACTGAGTAGTTCCCATGCTTTTCCTGGGAACTTTTTTTTCCTGAAAAGCTTTTTCAGGAATTTTTACCTATCTGATCTTTGATTGTTAATGACTCATTAATGTTCATCCTTCTTCTTAATGTGCTTCTAGCATTGCAAGTGGTAGTGCCCCAAGTTTTCCATCGTTGTTGCCTTCTCTAAGAGTTCTGCATGTCATTTTTTATGGGGCAGGCAAGGAAAATCTATCCATTGAAAATCTGTCTCCAATTGCAGAGAAGAGTATGAAATCAACCCTCGTGACCACTGCCAAAAAACTTCAGTGCTTCTGAATGGAGCCACCACACTGAAATGGTGCTAAGAGCTCTCACTGCAGTTCATTGGAACGGAATTAACTGAGCATTGCAATAAGACACCCTGATCATTAATTTTAACTATTTCCCCTTTTTGTTTTCATCACTGTTTCCACATGCCTTTGCACAGCATAAGCTGGGCTTTCTGCATGCTTGAAAATTCATACCTCTTACTACCCCTTGTAACGTGGATGAAGTCAGTCTGAGCAAGTTAACTCTTTAGAGCAAGCAGCAGGGGTTAGATAAGTCCCTTATTTCTAACACTGAATGGTAGAGAATTCAAGATGGAAATTCTACCCAACATTGAAAATATCCTTTTCTAGGAGGAACTTAGCTTGAAGTGCATCTTATCAGCTGATCCTTTTCAGTAGGATTTAATCTAATTGTTTAAATGGGGATTAAGCAGAATAGTTGATACTTTACAGCCCTGGTACTAATACTGTAACCTTCTTGTTCACTTCAGCTGCGAATTTCAATCCTTTCATTCTTTGGTGTTTAGAATAGCCAAAGCCATGAGTGGCTTGAGTATTTCAGTGCTAGCCTACTTCCAGCTATCCAAACAGACAGAAAACCATGTTATAATTCCCACAGTTAAACTGATCTTACATGAGAATTGTGAGTGTTCTCATTATGCAGTTAGGCTGCAGAGAAGCTGCAATAGCTCTCTTTAAATCCACAGCAGTTTTACAATATAACAAAGACAATCAAATATAATTTTTATTAGTAGTTGCCTTCACTTCCAAGGTGCTTTATTGGGCCATCGAGCTGAGTCCATAAATCTATGTGTTATAAATCGAATGCGGTAAACACCCCAGAATGGAATCTTAATAGCACATAAGCTTGAGACAGCTTGCTGTGAAATTTCCATAAATATCTCTGAAGGGGGTGTAGCAATATGAAGTGCATGAGAAATCAGAGTTTAAAAGAAGCAAACCAGCTGGCTTGTGTTACACACTAAAGTGAAACCCACTTCTGTGAATAACTGACATGAATAAAACATTACATGGCTATATTCCTCAAGGGCTGAGCAACTCACTCTACCTACCAGGGAAAGCTGTATCTTTTCCATGAATTCTCACCTTCAGGCAATTTTGGAAATCACCTCTTTTATTCAGGAAATCATTTCAGTCTCTCAGTAAATTACTTTCAAGCAATTGCATTGCCAAGATCAGTCACAAAGTACTGGCAAGCATGAGAAAACTACCTTTTAGACTGCTGGTGGGCCATAAGCTCAGGTGAACCTGTGCTGGGCAGTAAGGTCACAGGCAGAGGTTACCAGGAGACAGCAGACAGTGATGTCAGCCTCTCCAAGTTACATCTTGGTGTGTATCAGGAAAAAAAGCAATTCCAAATGTCATACTAATGTGATGTAAATTAACAGTTTGCAGAAGGAACAAAAATTACACCAGTAGACTAAGAGGTAGGGAACGGCTTCATTGCTAGTGTAACTGCTTTCCTCCTGGTGGAGAATAAAGGTTGAGTTTGGCACCAGAAATGTTTTGAGATAGCCTGGTGCACTTTAAAGTGATGGAGAGGGCAAACACTATTTTATTTTACCTGTCATTCACACAGCACCAGAATTAAGCCCGATCAATTAACATGTAACAGAAGCACATCATCAGGGCCTGTTTCCTCTCCAATGTACATTTGGTATTCCTCTCACTGTTCTGTTGGCCAGTTTGGTAAAGAAGACCTGAGATTCTGACCTCATTTGCTCAAAGTGACAACTGAATGTAGATTAATGGGGTTTTCAGCAGTCCATTGCAATTCTAAAATCACAGAATAACATCATAGAAATCTTGGATTGGAAGGGATGTCTGGAGGTCACCTCATTCAACCTTCTATGGAAGATTAAGTTATTCAGAGCCCAGTCCAACCAACCCTTGAATATTTCCAGTGGGGGAGATTCCACCACCTACCTGGACACCATATTCCAAAGAGGAAGGAGTTTACGAAGTGTTGTAACCACTTTTAGAACAAAATCTCACTTTTGTTGTATGCTCTGGCATCAAAGTCCTCATAGAAGTCTCACCACGGCAGCAGTGCCAAGAGAAAGACGTTGTGTTCTGTCAGGGAGGGGATTTTGTGAATGAGGAACTTCTGGGTCTGATTTTTAAGTAGGAGAGCCTGTGCATAACTTTGTTCTCCCATAGAAGTATCATAAATGTTAATTAATGAATCTACACTGGTGGTTTAGAATCACACAGGAGCAGTATAAGAAAACCTAGCTGGGACACTGGTGTTTTTTCTCAGAAAACCCATTATAGTTAATCTCTTCCTTCCTCCCACCATGTTCACCTTTAACATATGGCAGCTCAGTATCATGAGACTGGCACCTAAAATTAGGTAGGGCCTTGCTATTCTCCCTCCCACTCCCACCCACTCCTTGCATATGTGTACAGTTTGTAAGGACCAGCTGTGAATTTTGCCCCTGTAA